TTAGTAAATCTAAGTTAAGATGAATCTAGATGAGCCTCTGCACTATTTAGCTATCACATACCAAAGTGATAAACTATTTACTTTCCTTTCTAAGAGCTTGTCAGTTTTGGCAGATCTAATCCAACCCTAATGAAGCTTATGCCATGCATGAGAAAAACTAAGGTTGTGTTATGTCTATGCAACTTCTTCCTAGAGTCAGTCATTGCACGAATCTAAGTTAGAAACACCATATTAAGTTTAGGGTGGACTAAAATAATGAAAGTTGGTAAAGTTAGCTGATGTCAATGGATTTCCGGGTTTAACCAATTCAACACTTTAAACTAGTAAATCTAGGATTGGCTAATGGTTACATTATCAATCGTATAGTCAATTGAACACATATAAAAGATATTCTCCTTTTTCAGGTTCATGAGCTTTTCATTAAGAGTAGATGTCCACTTGGGCGCATGGCTTGGCTGAGTAAATCTAAATTATTATTAGAGTTATTGTTCTTTAGTAAAGTCATTAAATAATGTAGGGATAGGCTAGCTAGACCTGGTTTGACCTTGACTACTTCTTTCTGTAGGAGTTGCTTCAGGTTCATTAGAAGTTATAGTATGCCCCTAGCACCATCATGATGTGACCGGGTTCATTAACTTTGCAACAATCGTAGTTGTTGATGCATGCTAATGTTTTTAGTTGGTAATTATAGGTTAAGGTAAGTTTCTTTACATGCCCTTTCCTCAGTATAGATCTTCACACACAAAAAAAGATATATTTTTTTTTCTCTTTCTTAGGTTTGTCAGTTTTTGTTCATTTTTCATATCGACCTAAAGAAAGGATGGCACCTTGGTAAAGTAAATCTAATATTTATCCTAATATAATATTTGTACAACTATTTTTGCTCTTTTTCCCTCATTTATTTTTGAAGGAGTCACTAGCTTTTCTATTTATAGCCTTCGTATTTTTCCCTTAATCGAGTAAATCTCTGTCCCGAATAAAATGAACGATCCAAAGATGAGAGGAACCGAAAGGAGAGATATACGACAGACAATAAACAAATAATAAAAAGGAACGTGGAGCACTTTCGTAAAGTGAACTTCATGTGGATAGCCTCCCAAGCTTGCATCCTAAATGAGAACATATAAAAATACATTCGAGACATTCCGCAAAGTTGACCTTACAAAGACAACCCACAACCGAAGAACCAAGTATAAATATTTGTTTTAGGGCCAAGGGCACTCATAAAGGAATGTATTCTTTTATTTTATGACATCTTGGGAGATGCCTATGAATATTCTTGATAAAAGGGTATTTCTTACATGATTGAATGAAATCTGGTTATTTGGGATACCAATGAATTTAAATAATATCAAGGGAGAATCCTGATGCTTTTGACATTTATATCGGGTTATAGAGCTGAGGGTGAATCACCATAACCACTAAGGGCGGAGACGTCTAAGCATGCGAGGGCCTACAATATGATATCAATGATTTGTCAAAGAAATCGACGGGCTCAAAAGAGGCTCCAATAGGAAGGAAAAGAACCCCTAAAAAGGTAGAGGTGGTCGGGTCGGGATACCACAGATCCGTCATCCCAGGCTATGTAGATCTTAAGTCTATCTGATTGTGAAGGTAGTTAACCAAACACAACTGAAGACTCCTTGTCAACAGTCCGTGAATTACATCATCTAAGGAAGTCACAGTAGCCCTAAAGTTAGAGGAGGGAAACTCTAGTTCCTATGACTCTAAATAGGTAGAATTCAAAGAGGTGGGGGTTATGCTTGCCAAAGATGGCAGAGCTGCCACCAAAAAGAAGAGAAAGGAAATTCAACTACAATGCTGGAAACACTCTGCACAAATGACTTATACCCCTATTGATCTCATTTTTGGTGATGTCTAAATTTTTTCTCCTGGAACTTAGGATCTAGCCATAGGACTTTCCTGTTAACTATCCTAGAAAACTAGTGAGGATACCCACCCACCTAGAAATTCTACACACTGCTTAACTCTTTTTGAAGCCTCATATGGGCAGTTCCAAGTCCTCAGCTCTTAGTTGAGATGACTAGGACCAACATGTAAAGAATAAAAAATGAGTTCTCATAGGATCACAAGGCCTTAGAGAAATCCTTTATGGCTTGGACATTCACATCTCACCACTTACACATTCACATGCACATCCTATACACAATTCACATACACTACTTTACATGTTCACCACATCCATCACTTCACTTCACTTGCACATACGCTACACTCATACCCTAAATCCAACCTTCACTCCACCATAACCCTAATCCACCTAAAGTCAACCTTAAATTCACCATAAAATCAAAATTTGCCAAAAATTCCCCAAAATTCCCTAAAATCACCAAATTGACCAAAACACCCCTAAATTCCTAAAAATGACCAAAATTGTCCAAATATCCAATTTTTCACCAAAATTATTCAAAATGCCTTAAAATTACCCAATTGCCCCAAAATTTCCCAAATTTGACAAAAATCCCCAAAGTTACCCAAAATACCAAAATTGCTCAATGTTCACCAAAATTCTCAAATTGCCCCCCAATTTTTACCAAATCCATTTTAAACCCATCATATTCCAAATCCAAACCCAATTCAACTAAAATTCAAGCCGAAATCTAAGACTATTCAAATTGAAATTCAAGCCAAACCAAGTCCACCCTATACCCAAACTCCATCAAATTTGAGCTCATATGCCAAGTCCAATTTCACCAAATTCATGTCCCAAATTTTATCATGACAATTCCCAGAAATTCATCAAACCCATAGTTAATTTAAATCTTCACCAATCCATGCTCAATTTCAAACCCAAAATTAGTTTCTCATGACCCATTTTCAAAAGCCGGACAAACCAAACCCACTTCTTCATGAAAAAAAATTGGATTTTTAAGCACTAGGAAACTCAACACAAGCACGAGATCAATCGTGTTTTGAGGATACAAAGGCGAAGGAGTTAATAGAGCAATTTTTATGGAGAAATCAACATCTACATATCAATAACAAATGATAATAAAGAACTCTTAAATTTTTTGAAGTGACAGGGAATAAAAATTTTGACATTGAAGAATTGTCTTAAAGATTAACAAGTCAACATATTTCACTTTGAATATTGAGCTCTTGAATTCTGTCATCAAGTGAAAAATTTGTAATAATTATATTAAAAAAAATCAATGACATAATCAAAACTTAAGAAGACATGTGGTGAAATTAAAAATTAAGAGGTACCATTATTTAAGTTTTAAAGTTTTATCTCCTTAAGAATTTTAAAACTATTATAAACATAATTATTTAAAAATTTAGTTAATATTAAATTATTATTAAGTATTTTAAGTTTATAGAGCATTTTTTTTAATTTTTAATTATATGATATTAAAGAGTTTAATACAATATAGGGGCTGTAAATGTCTACCCCAGCCACCCGCCGGTTCCATCATTAGAAGTGATAGACGCCATCCAAATATGATTGTCATACCAAAGCTAGAGGTAGTGATAGTAAAAACTTTGCCTCTTCTCTAAAAATACTATAATGCATTTATAAAATGCGTGTACTCTGAAATGTAGAAGCACAATCCATATAGAAACAATGGCAAACATATGAAAAAAGTACAAAGTCTTCTTTGAAATCCTATTTACAAAGCCTTTTACCATCAAATTTCTGTTTAAGAATATGATATTATTGTCCTCAATATGAAGAAATTCAATAAGCTATAATTTGCATAGAACATCAAAAAAGAGAAATTAACAAGATTAATATCTTGAAAGAAAGATTTAATTAATTGCAATTTAGGCCATCAACTATGACTTCTCTCACTACAAATAACTTGAATGAACATGACAATCAATGAAATACATTATCAACTATCATAAGAACAAATTTATCTTCGTGGGAAGAAGTTGTTAGATACGAGGGGAAGAAGGGTAGATGTTAGTCTGATGTGCTCATGACAAAGCAATTGAAACATATGAGAAGATAATTAATGAATTAGGGTCCAAATTGGCTTTAAATATTTAAAATGGTAGCCACTATATATACATATATTAAAAGGAATAAAAGGAAATAATTGTAAGCAAACCCAGAGCTGTTGAGGTGCAATTGAAACTGTATTCTGAGAACCTAAAACTCGAGAAAATATTATGTGTATGTTGAAGAATTGGGTGATAGTTCGATATACACCTTATATAGATAAGATAAATAACATATAACCAAATCATACCCAACTATCGGCGAACATGTACAAAATTTTCTCCTAAAAAACTCACCTTTTCTCTACCATCAGCTTTGTCAGAGCCCCACTCGGTGAAAAACGAGCTCTCATATTCCCCCACCGCCCACCAAAACAAGTACTAGCAATCAGAAACGCACCCACTTTGAAACTAGAGAAATAGAACCCCTTTATACCACTCACAACCATGTGAAAAATACAGCCCTTATCCTCCCTATTGCAACACCCTCTTCTCTCCCTCCAACCCCCTTCTTTGTTTCCCCTGCAAAACTTCAAGATCGGTATCATCTCTAGAGAAAGTAGAAGTTTTGTTGAAGATCACCTACATACATATCCAGCCAGGTATCACCCTTATTCCCAGATCTAAACCCGTAGAAAGCTTAAGATTGAAGAAGACCCAAGCACTTAATTCAGAAATCATTCTCTTTGCAGAGATTTTTCCATGTCTGTACGGCCTTTAAATCTTCCACCTTTGATTTTCCTCAAACAGAGGTAGATGGACAGAGATAGATAGTTAAGAAGAGGTTTTGCTCTAAAGCTTCGTTCTTTTTCTCACTTGAGTTTAGAAGTGAAGTCTACAAGCTGGCGAACCGTTGGTGGGCGGGTAGCCCCGCCGCCGCTACTTCCGGCGCCACAATCCCTTCCCTCCACCTCCGCAACCCCCTTCCCGACCACCACCACCACCACCACCTCCTCCTCCCCACAGCCGACGAGCCGACGACTCCAAACCTCCCAACAGCAGCGGCAGCAATACCAACAACGAGGACCCCACCGATGACCAATCAGCCGGCACCACCAATCCCGGCGACAACACCATCATCTGCGCCTCTGCTTCCGGCCGCCGCCCTCGCGGCCGCCCCCCTGGCTCCAAAAATAAAGCAAAACCCCCCATCATCATCACCCGCGATAGCCCCAACGCTCTCCGCTCCCACGTCCTCGAAATCGCCTCCGGCGCTGACATCATGGATTCCGTTAACCCCTTCGCTCGCCGCCGTCAGCGAGGCGTCGCTGTGCTTAGCGGCAGCGGGGTAGTCGCTAACGTCACCAT